AATTAAATTGATTTTAATGGAAAAATTGTCTCATTCCTGTAGTTTTTTGACTTTGAAAATTGATATTTGAGTTACACTTTTCATTGTTGATTTTCTTTATTATTTTATTGCACAGATAGCAGATGTACTGACCAAGTAAACCTTGAAACTGGAAGAAATTTCTTTCTTCTTGGCAGCTGATGTTCACAAGCTCATTAACAATAAGGCCATGGTAAATGTTTTACCTGGGGCAAGATATCAGTCTGAATATTCCTAGAATGTCTTTTTTTTCCCCAACTGAAATGCATTTTTTCTGCCTATCAATCACTGAAATATAGAAGAGATTTCTACTTGGCAGGGTATCCATTATCATTTGTGTCCTTTTTTTCCCCTCATTTTCTGTAGAAGATACAATTTTTTTGGTTTTTGCATGTTGTATAATGCTTCTACTCCTGGTTTTATTTTTTAATACACAGAATATAAACAGAGTACTGCTGGGTAATGAGAGGGCAACTGCCAAGCTGCTCTTTAATGTAATGAAATCAGAGCTTGAGAAAGACAAATTGCATCAACTGAAATGGCAAGAGAGAGTCAAGGTCTGGAAGCTCATCCAAAAGAACTGCATAGTTCAGAGTTTCAGGTCAGAAATTTTGCAGTCTTATTTTGGACAATGAATAACGCAAAGTGACTAGTTTCTATAAAAGTAATACTTTATCATTTTTTCTTTATACATATCACATATGATATCACATATATCATGTTTCCATTATACATATCTTTTTTCCATCCTGCAGAGAATTTACGGCAAGTGAAGAAATACAGAATCCCCCAACTGTGAAAACAGAAATGGAAAATATGATAAAGGAGCAGATTGTACTTAGTGACCAGAGACTGAGAGTTTTGCAGCACATTGGGTATGGCAGAAGAGGGTATAGCATAAAGGGAAACAATTCTTTCTGGAGTTGATGAGGGACTTGGCTACACAATGCACTTTGCTTCCTGTCAGTGTGTGATTGTTAAATTCAGCAATAAGGCAGGGTCTAAACCTATTTTTGTACAGCTCTTTTTAATGGAAAAAAATGCACTCTTGATTTTCACTGCACCAGCTACACTAAATAGGTGGTGATCAAGGGCTAAAAATGCAGGAATGCAAAAGTAAATCTTACTGACATTTGAAATGGGGTAGGAATGGGTGGAGAACTAGAAGTTGGTATGTCAAGACATTTTTTCTCTGTGGGATTTTATTTGTGTAATAAATTAAGAGAGGAGTCTGCATAGAAATCCAACACTGCTGTGTTTGAATATCCATCCTGAACACAAGAAGCATTTTTGGGTGTAATGTATTGCAATATTTACAGGGAGTTTTTTTACAGTGTATGTAGGAACAATTACATTCCTACATGCAGGAATTACACTTAGTTCCTTGTCAGGCAGTAAATAGTTGGCCTCAAACAACAACAGTCTCTTTGGTTTATTTTCATTGCCAAAATGGCTTTAAATAAAATAATGCACAGTAGTATGGATACTCTGATTCATAATTTTATATTTTAAGTACTGACTGATTTGTATTTTAAGATACCTGACTCTTGTTTCCTACTTTGATAGCACCTTGTTGCCTCCAAAACATACACAATCTGACATAATAAATGAATGGTACAGAACTCTGGAGAATTTAAACAGGAGTATTGGTAAGTTGAGAAATGATAAAACCAGTTTGGAATTCAAGCAATCCTTTCTTTTTCCCCAGGCAACAATGAGGCAGACAGTTGCTGTGAAAGTGCATGTTTGCTCAATTCTTTATTCTATATGTTCCCACTTAGGTTCTCTGTTGCTTTGAGCTGGCTACTAGGAAGACCCAAAGAAGCTGCCTGTGACATCACTTTCCTTTGGCCAGTGCAAACACTTAGTCATGGTGAGATCTAGCAGAAACTGGCTTGTTAGAATTAATCTGGGGGAAATAGAAGGTTAATTTTGACATGGATCAGTTCTCAATCCTAAAAAAATCCTCCTTTTTAACTCTCAGAGAAGAAGAGGGGAAATATTGCAGATAATTCCTTTCTCCAAGTCCTGTAGTATGCCTTCCCTCTGTGTCTGCCTTCTCTTGCTGCAGAGCACAGTGAGCTTTGTAGCCTGTATGGTAGCATGGAGGTTGGTAGCAATTGTAAATAACTTGCTACTTTGAAGCATAATTATAAACAGCTGTGTATTAAGGTGTCTCTTTTGATTGGTTGGTGGTGTCACAGTGGTGTGCAGACACTGCTGGGATCTGTCCCTGTGCTGAGATTCAGCACAGGGCTGCTGTCATGTTTCCTTTTCACACTGCACTGTGAAGTACAGGAATGTTGACCGTGGTCTGTTCCATATCATTCAGACACACCTAATGTGGAGTGCATGGAGAAAATGTGCATCCAGTATGAGCTGGTCCAGGACAAATGTCAGGAAAAAGTGCAGGTCTGCAAGGTGAGTGTCAGCTTTGGGTGTGGAAGTGATGGTACGATATGTCATTACAGTAAAATATGTTTGAGGATCCGCCAAACATTGAGATAACAAGTTTTTAACCTCTTACTCTGTTCAAAAGGTACTTGAAATGTGTAAAAGCTCTAACAAATGCCAGTAATGAAGGGGGTGCTGTCCTGCATTTACCTGGAGGATGCAAGGACCCTCAGCCTTTGTGCTAAATCCATCTTATCTTGGCAAAGAAATTCCACCTCTCTGCCTCAGTTTCTCCCTTTGTATCCAACTGAATTGTTTTGTTTACTAACGGAATGTGGGCTCTAGGAGGTTGAATCTTCCCTCTGTCCATTACAAGCAAATAAACACTAAGTTTAGCCATCTTCTCTGAAAGCCATGCAGTATTTCTTATATGCACGTGAATAATTTGCTATTCTTTTCACTTAGATGACCCTGTTGGATATTTGCACAGTAGAAGATGTTGAAATTGTACATTCCAACATGCTCCAGATGACTGAGAAACTAAAACATAGGTTTGAAGAACAACTGCAGCACATGAATGTGCGTCTATTACATTTATTTTTATCACTCCTTGGGATTAGTCCTTTCTTCCTGTGCTCACACCTGCAATGCCTTCTGCATTGTAGGCTATTGATGTCACATTAGAAAGAGGTCCACAGTGTGACTAAGCACTACAAAGAAGCAAAGTTTGGTGTGGAAAAGCTTCCAGTGGAAGAATTCATAATTATTGTGTTTATTATTTGTAATATAAATATATTGTATTTTTATTATAATTTATATCTGAAATGCATATGATAGAGATGAATGACGTATGGCCCACCCAGTCTGCCTTATGACAGAGGAATATATTTAAATGATCTCCCAAATGTCTTCCAATCTGATCTTTTGTGATTCTGTATATAAAAATGACTGGGCAGTTGTTCCTGATGTGATAAATTGTAGAATGTGATTTGGTGCTTTATGATGCCAGAATAAACAGAAGTTTTGATACTCTCAGCTTGTACTACAAAAATCCACATTCTTACCCAGTTTACTTGGATTTTTCATTTTTTTTTAACTCTCCAAATAGAAGACACCATGTTGAATACCAGTCATGTAATTCCAGGCAGCCTTTTATCACGTTACATATCCTCTTACTCATTCATTTCACCTTCCAGCAGTTTAAAAAGAACTTGTTCACTTGAATGTTTTTCTTTAGAGTGAATTTAAGGAGATGGCTAAATGGCATGAGCAGCATTGTGAAGGCTTGTACAACTATGTTCAGGATGCCATGGCTCTCTGGGATGTCCATCAGCTCCAACTGTCCCAGCAGGAAAATGTACTTCAGAAGAAAGTAGATGAATGCAGATGGGAAGAGGATAACATAATTCAGGTATAAACATAAAAACAAGGGTGTGCTGTAAAGAAAGGACTTCTTAATGCAAAGAACCCTCTGGAATTCAAAATAGCTGCTATAAAATTAAAAACATCATATCTGACTTTTGTATTGGAATTTCTACTTTTCAGTTTCATTCAGTCAAGTGCATTTTTGCTAACTCCTTGATTCACACTGAATGGACAGTCCTGTCTTATTCTTGATAGGGCAACAGTGTTAAGGATCACTGCTGCTTTCTGTATAAAGTGGCTGCAAGTTGCTATTATGGGATGTTGTGCAGGTATAGAGTCTGGTTGGATGCAAAGTTCTCATAGTTACAACAGCCAGCTTGGGATAGCAATGTCAGAGGTGTTCATTATCTAGGCAGATCTTCATGGGTGATGAGTTTTGCTAAGGTAGCTTCCCTTATTGGTGTAGAATATATGTACATAATTAACTTACTTGAATCCTAAATAGTAATGGAGATTTTAGTATCTACTACACCATTATTACTAGCTTTTTCATGTGGCCTTAGATGATGGAAGATAATCTGGATACAAGTTTGGAAAAAATGAAGATGGCAAGCTGTGAAGAAGAGCTGAAGCAATATTTGGAGAAAGCCCTTTCCTCTTTAGATCAAATTAGAACTAGGTATGAGTTTTGTATTGTAAACTTAAAAAGTAAAGCATATTTTAACGCTGGTTGTACTACTTAGGTCTTGTTTATGCTATTGTGTGAAGGTATGGGAAAAGACGGCTTTTTACTTCATGTAAGAATATAAAATAATGTACATATTGAACAAGGTTAAGGCAAATAATACCCACCATTTAGGAATGGGACAAAGGGAGACTGCTATCATTCAAAAACCACACTCATTTGAGCAGTTAAAAGAAAGTCAGAGGTAACAGACCAAGTGAAAATACAAGTCCAGATTGCAGAAATGGAATGTAACCTATCTGAACATATACGTAAATTCCCCATAATTATCTTTGTTTAGGAGACAAAGCAAATGCAAATGTAAATGAAAACAAGTGTGAACATTGATTTTTCTTGAATCAAGATGTAGCTTTATTTTCAAGTAAAAGGAAGATGAACCAGAAAGGCTCAGTCGCAGCTGAGCACAGTGCAGAACTAACATGGAAGACAATATTTTAACATCTTTTATGTAAGCAGTGTTTGTATGGTTCCCCATCCAAAAGGAAGGATGTAAAAGGCTTTACTATAAATATTTCTTAACTTTTGTGCATTTATTTATTTGTAATGAACTAATCTCTAACAAGCCAGGATGTGATTGTATTCAGTGTAAACAGGTCAATCGCAACATTTAGCCTAAAGGTTTTATGAGACTGATCAGAAGGTCAGATTTAGATTTAAAGGCACTGTAATCATACTGAATTTTATTTCTATACATACTTGAGTCTCTTAAACAGTGACCTTAAATTGGACAGGAATGAGAAACTCAAGCAAATTGTAATGGATGAAGTAATGGCTTACCCAAAAGCTATTTTGTGGGAATTGATTTCTTATAGTATATCCATCAGCCAGCATTTTAGTGTGAAGGAAATCTCCAAACAGGTAAAAAGAAAATATCTACTGGTTTAGAACCTTATTAGTGTATTCATTTTTCACTTTAGAGAAAATTTACCTTTAAAATCCAGATTATATAAAGTATTGTTTTCAGCCATTGAATAAAGTGCTTTTGGTAGAGATAGCAGAGGGAAAACAAAACATTTCTCAGTCCCACTTTTAACTCTGTCCTTGTTACAAACGGCATTTTAGCAAATCCATTTGCCTTTTGAACAAAGAACTACAAGGTAATAGACTTAAAATAATCTATTTGAGTGTTACAGGTTCTTTAGATAGTAAGTGATCTATTCAAGACTATCATATCTTACTGAAATAGAAACATTTTGAGAAGGAATATGGGTTTCTTAGAAGCAAATCCATATTTTAAAACAGTGTGGCAGGTATTTTTTGTTGTTGTTTTGGTTTTAGAACTTGCAAGGCACGATAGACTCCACAGTTCAAGATCAAAATAATACCTCAACAGTCCAAACAGGTATTTCTGCTTACTTGTTTTTCAATTTCTATTTCTTTGGACTGGAACCAGTAGAGGTCTGCTTTAATTGTAAGTAACTAGTTGAGGCTTCAGAAGCTGAACAAACAGTGGAGCAGCAAGCAGAGAGCATTGTGCAAGGAGAGGAAAATCAGAGTATCCTGAGTTGGAAGGGAATTGCAGGGATCATGAAAGTCCAGCTCTTGGCTTTGCACAGACATCCCAACAATCCCAACGTGTGCATCCCTGAGAGCATTGTCCAAATGTTTCTGGAGCTCTGGCAGCCTTGGGGCTGTGCCCATTCCCTGGGCAGCCTGTTCAGTGCCTATCACCCACTGAGGGAAGAACCTTTTCCTAGTACCTAGTCTAATCCTCCCCTGGCACAGCTCCAGGCATTCCCTTGGGTCCTGTCCCTGGTCACACAGAGCAGAAATTAAAGTTGCCCCTCTATTGCCTTCGAGAGGAGCTGCAGCCCCCAGTGAGGTGTGACCTCAGTCTCCTCTCTCCAGCTGAGCCAAATGCCCTCAGCCACTTGTATGGTTTCCACTCCAGAGCCTTCACTATCTCTGTGTTCCTCCTTTGGACTTCTCTAGCAGCTTTAGGTCTTTCTAACATTGTGGCATCCAAAATTACCCCCAGGGCTCGAAGCAAGGACATCCCAGCCCAGAGCAGAGCAGGACAATGGCCTCTCTCAACTGGTGCCAGAAGATAGGGACAGTTGTCAAAAATCAGCTGGAGAAACAAACTTAACGGAGAAACAGGTGATCTTGGCACAGGAAATTGCAGAAACAGAGGAAGAAGAAGATGAGGAGAGTGTTCCTCATAAAAGTGAAGAAAATGAGCATGCAGAACAGGGACTAAGCATTATGCAGGTAAGTGAGCAAGAGAATACATTTGAAAGTGAAGGCAGTCTTGACCAAAATAAGGAGGAATAGGAAGTCTTTCTGCTGAGAATGAATAGAAAGTCCTTTTTTGCTTAGTTTGTATACAAAGCACCCAGGGCTCTAGATCCTTTTATGAGAAAATGGAGTTTATAAAACAATTCACAACCATTCTTTTTGATAATTTTTCATAATTTTTTTTCTAATCTGTCTTTCATCACAGTGTTCTCAGCCTGTAGTGAATGATTTAAGCTAAGTATTTGTACCTACATATTAGTTTTTCAGTTTCCATGAATTAATACCATAACGAAAACGTTTTCAAACATTGTTGACTCTGCCTATGTCTTGCTGGCATATATATAAATATATAAATATACAAATATATAAATATATATTTTTATTTATATATAAATATATTTATATATTTTTATATAAATATATAAATATATAAATATATAAATATATAAATATATAAATATTGCAAGCACTGTGTAAATGTCCAAATTAAGAA